CATCATGTATTTTACTCATCCCCCTGGTACTCAAACTACCCTCTGATAACAATCAGTTTGTTCTCTAACGTTAAGAGTCGACTTCTTGGTTTGCCTACCTTTCTTTTTTTTCCCCCTTTGCTCATTTAATTCTTACATTCTACATATGAGTGAAAACATGGGATTTGTCTTTCTATGACTGACTTATTTCAGTTAGCATAATACTCTCTAACTCCATCCACGTCATTGCAAATTTAAAAGATTAAAAAAGATTTAAATCTTTTTTGTAGGGTAATCTTCCATTGTATGAATGTATGTGTGTCTATACACACACACACACACACACACACACACACACACACGTATATATACACCACCTCTTTTTTTATCCATGGACACTTGGGCTGTTTCCATGTTTTGGCTATTGTAGATAATGCTACTATAAACATCAGGGTACATGTATCCTTTTGAATTAGTATTTTTGTATTTTTTTACTGTTTATTTATTTTTGAGAGACAGAGTGTGAGCAAGGGAGGGGCAGAAAGCGAGGGAGACACAGAATCTGAAGTAGGCTCCAGGCTCTGAGTTGTCAGCACAGAGCCCAAAGTGGGGCTCAAATGTACAAGCTGTGAGATCGTGACCTGTGCCAAAGTCAGACACTTAACTGACTGAACCACCCAAGCATCCCATTATTTTTTATTCTTTGGGTAAATACCTAGTAGTGCAATCCCTGGATCATAAGATAGTTCTATTTTTAACTTCTTGAGGAACCTCCATGCAGATTTCCAGAGTGGCTGCACCAGTCTTTATTCCCACCAAGAGTGCAAGAAGATGCCCCTTTCTCCATATCCTCATCAACACCACTATTTCTTGTGTTGTTGATTTTAACCATCCTGACAGGTGTGAGGTAATGTCTCATTGTAGTTTTCATTTGCATTTCCCTAATGATCAGTGATGTTGAGCATCTTTTCATGTATCTGTTGACCATCTGTATGTCTTCTTTGAGAAAATGTCTGTGTATGTCTTCTGCCCATTTTTTAATTGGTTTATTTGGTTTTTGGGGTATTGAGTTTTATACTTCTTTATATATTTTGGATACTAATGCTTCATTGGATATTTCATTTATAATATCTTGTCCCATCCTGTCAGTTGCCTTTTCGTCCTGCTGATTATTTCCTTCTCTGTGCCGAAGCTTTTTATTTTTATGTAGTCCCAGTATATTTTTGTTTTTGTTTCCCTTGCCTCAGGTGATATATCTACAAAGAAGTTGCTACAGCCAATGTCAAAGAGGTTACTGGCTGTCTTCTCTTCTAGAATTTTTATGGTTTTAAGTCTCACATTTAGGTCTTAATCCATTTTGAATTTATGTTTGTGTATAGTGTAAGAAAATGGTCCAGTTTTATTCTTTTGCATGATGCTGTCCACTTTACCCAACTGGACATTTGTTGAAGAGACTGTCTTTTTCCCACTGAATATTCCTCCCTGCATTGTAATAGATTAATTGACCATATAGTTTTGGGTTCATTTTTGGGTTTTCTATTCTGTTCCATTCATTTATTTGTCTGTTTTTCTGCCAGTACCATACTGTTTTTGTCACTACACCTTTGTAACATAACTTGAAGCCTGGAATTGTGATGCTTCCAGCTTTGCTTTCCTTTTTTCAAGGTTGCTTTTTGGCTATCCAGGGTCTTTTGTAGTTCCATACCAATTTTAGGATTGTTTTTTCTAGCTCTGTGAAAAATGCTGGTGATATTTTGATAGGGATTGCATTAAATGTATAGATTGCTTTGGATAATAGAGATTTTAACAATATTTGTTCATCCAGTTCACAAGAATGGAATTTGTTTCCATTTGCCCAAATGTTTGTCCATTTGTTTTTCTTTCATCAGTATTTTATAGTTTTCAGACTATAGGTCTTTCACCTCTTCAGTTAAGCGTATTCCTAGGTATCTTACTGTTTTTGGTGTCGTAAATTTGGTTATTTGTTTCTCTTTTTGCTACTTCATTATGGTTGTATTGAAATGTGTCTGATTTCTGTAGATTGATTTTATATCCTGAGTCTCTACTGGATTCATTTATAAGTTGTAGCACTTTTTTGGTGGAGTGTTTCAGGTTCTCAGTGGCCTTTTCCAACTCTCACCTACTCATATTCTAATAGTTGATATCTATTAACATCTTGAAAGCTTCTTCTCTCCTTCCCTTATGTCCACACGGTCTTGATTTTCCTTTTTAGTGTCAAACAATTTCTTAAAGATTTGGAAACCAAATAATTTATCTTCCAAACTGAAATACTTTTGAAAGTGAAAAATGTGCTATTTAATATTGAGCCAGTATGAAAGATACAAATCCTGATTGCTCAAGGAAAAAATAGGAGATACTGTTATTTCATTTACAAATTCTTTTTTTTCCTCCTTAATTTTTTCTTTTGTTATCCATCTTCTGAGTTCCCTAATATGGATCTTCCCTAAAATTATCAACCATCATCTTTTGTCCTTTTATATACTATACTATACTGTCCTTAGATAAACTGAAATATTTGCATGACTGAAACTACCATCTCTATTGATAATTCTCAAAGTATATATCTTTTTTTTTATTTTTTTAAATGTTTATTTATTTTTGAGAGAGACAGAATACGAGCAAGGGAGGAACAGAGACAGAGGGAGACACAGAATCTGAAACAGGCTCCAGGCTCCAAGCTCTCAGCACAGAGTCCAACACGGGGCTCAGACTCACAGACCGTGAGATTGTGACAGCCAAAGTCAGACACTTAACTGCTTGAGCCACCCAGATGCCCCTCCCAAAGTATATATCTAACCCTTAACTTTTTCCTGAGCTGCAGACTCATATTTCTGATAGTTCGTTGGGTATCTCCAGACTATTAACCCCAAAGTATTCAAATTTAAACTTCTCTTTTCCCTCAAATATCCTATTGTTCTATTTACATTCATATGAGAGAAGGAGAGAGAAAGAGAGACATGTAATGTATGTATACATGTGTGTGAGTCTGGAAGTCTGTATATTATATATATATGTCTTAATTTGAGCATATGCTTTCTTAGGTATTGGACATAAAATAGTAGCAAGAGCACAGTTTCATCATGACAACGCATTCTAGTGTGTGGGATAGACTTGATCAAACCGTCACACATATAAATGTAGTATAAATGTGGAAATTGTTATGAAATAGAAGAACGTGGTATCAAATGAAGTATAATAGGAGTTTTCTTTGACTTTCTTTCCAATTCTTGCCTCTTTTATTAGACATAAATGGCAACAGATAGCTCTTTCAAATCAAACTATCCACCATTTCTTTAAAATATTTATCACAATTCAGTACTCAAATGTATTAGCAGGTAGAGCAGTTTTTCTTCTCAGAATTCCCATTGCCTTCACCCTAGTTATGGGAATATTCTTTATAAATCATATAAAATGTTTAGGCCTTACTGTGGTAGCAGTACCATCAGTAATGAGAATGTTGGTATGGAAACTAAATAAAAGCACTTCTATGGAAATTGTATTATGTCCTTTGTGAGAAAAAGATGATTACATAAGAAGAGGAGCATCTTCCCAGTCATAAAGTCTGGCTGCTGCTTCTTTGTTTTAATATAGTAAGTGATACTTACTGATTGAACGTTAATTTCTTATCCTTTATCACATATACATCCCCACTTATGCACAAAACTTGAAAGTGGTCAACTTCTCATTTGTGATCAGAAAACCTAAACACATTAGTACTAGCCCAGAACAAAATTATGCATACCCCAAAATAATAATTGTATAATCGGGGCACCTGGGTGGCTCAGTTGGTTAAGCGTCCGACTTCGGCTCAGGTCATGATCTCCCAGTTCATGGGTTCAAGCCCCGCATCGGGCTCTGTGCTGACAGCCAGCTCGGAGCCTGGAGCCTGTTTCAGATTCTGTGTCTCCCTCTCTCTCTGACCCACTCGCTCTCTGTCTCTGTCTCAAAGATAAATAAACATTAAAAAATAATAATAATTCTATAACCAACATAAATAGTAATTTTTAAAATAAATAATCCACATTGTTTGTATATTTGTACAAACAAAAGACTAGTTACATCAGTCTTTATCACAATAGTCAACATTTATTATTTACTACTTACAAGTGCTAGATAATTTATATACATTACCTTATTTAACCCTCAACAGTAATCCCGTGAGGTAGATGCTATCATTATCTTCATTTTTTTAGGTAAAGGAAATGGTGATTTAAAAAATGTAGCCATCAGTGTCCCAACAGAAATCATAGCATAGTTAAATGCATAATTGAGAAGAGTTTAATAAGGGACTAGAGTGCTTACAAAGGGTTGCATAGGTTATAGGGAAAGCAACAAGACACAGTGCAGTGCCCTGCGACTAGTAATACTGGGAACCATTAATACTCTAGTCCTAATGGGGCAAAGGGTGAGAACTCCTACTGGAATCCAGAAAAGAGCTATAAGCAAGGGTCATCTGACAGGAGCTGTGACTTAGCCAACCTCTGATGACCTGGTAGATAAGGAACCAGGGGAATAAGGACCAGATCTTAATCTCCTCTAATGGTTTAGTTTCCTGGCAGGGCCTCCCACTGACTAGCTTGTTGATTCTATCTGTACAGGTCAGTTTAGAGCAGCAAGGATGAAGGGTGGAGAATCTGAAAGGAAAATGGAAAATATCTTGGAAGTAAATAACTATTATGTTTCAGAACCAGTATATGAATGCCAAACACTTTACTCCTTAACCACAAAGCTAAACTGCCTCTCATAAAAAAAGTTCTATGAAATATTATTTGGCCAAGGAAAATATTTTAAATCTGAAAGTTTCTGTCCTATCACAAATTGTTGGAATGAAACCTATATCCAAATTATCAGGTAGGCATTTATACCTAATAGTAAATGAGATCAAATATATTAGAGCTAGGCAGCAAATAATGCCAAAGAAAATAAGTTAGGTGTGGATACTGATGTTAATGTTGTTGGTATTTTCAGAATATTAAGCCATCCTTGTTTTTCTTGTCCAGATTCCAGACTCCATCATTTCTCGTGGTGTCCAGGTGCTCCCACGGGACACAGCCTCCCTCAGCACTACTCCTTCAGAATCGCCTCGTGCTCAGGCTACATCTCGCCTTTCTACAGCTTCCTGCCCAACACCAAAAGTAAGTACAGTTCCTTGCACCTTCAACCTTTTCTACTATATGAGTGTGGGAAACTTAACCAATATTCCCCTCTGCTTGTCAAGGTTGGATTGCATGCAAGATAATGCAATGAAAAATGAATGGATAATTACCACCTACTATTTTACAGATTGTCATATTAGGCCACAAGTAAGATAATAGAAATTTCATGTAAAATATATACTCCTACATTCACAGCTACAGGTATCACTTTCTGTAGCTTCTGTTTCTTTGTTCTAGACTTGTTATTTTTTTAGCATACTCATCAGTATAGATGTGAAGTTATTTGTTTATGTAAAGGATAAATGCATTTCAATAAAAAACAAAATTAACAAAATAAAATAATATCACCAAAAGGATTTTTTTTAACTTGTCCAGGCTAGGGTAGCTCCCTGCTCTATTACCATTCCAAATTTTTTCAAACATATTCAGCTTGGAATGTTGCTGCCTAATATTTGGAAATAAATCTAAATTGATTAGAAAGAAAGTTTTAATGCCAACCTTTGCGGGAGGGAGGAAGTTTTTAGTATTTATTTTTTAATAATTTTTCCCAAATACTAAATCATATGTTGGAGGAAAAATTAGATATTTATTTGCTGCCTCACATCTCCATGTATATGATAACTTATGTAATTATAGCTGTAACTGCTTTCTTCTGGAACATCCCTTTCCTGGTTAAGTTAGTCGTTTGTGCTTTCAAGTTTTCTATATGATGAATCCAATACTGGCATCAAAAGATTAACAGTAACATTCCTTCTTAAGTAATAAGTTACAGTGTTTGTTCAATATCAGGTTTTTTCTAAATTTATTCAAGGGATCTGCAGGTAATTTTTCAAACTGTGGCTTTCTCTCTGTCATCAAATTTACCACTTATATAGCTGTCTTCCTCAATTCCAACTTTTTCCTGAGTTTTAATAATGTTGTAACTGGACTTAACTAGAAGTGATCTCAAGCAGTTCTTCATATGTGTAGTACTATTGCTTTTACATTCCATGGTACAACCTTCTCAGCAACGTCCTCACAGCATTACTGTTGTATATCATTGTTTTTAGATTTGTGTCAAATACAACCAATATTAATTTTTAGTTTAAAAAAATTATGGTTCTAAATCTTCAATGAAGACAAAATGTAAGAACATTCTAGACATAAAATGTATGTTAATGCCATTCAGGTGCCAATCAACTATATCTCCCACTGAATGAAAACATGGAGTTCTAAGGCTTGAATTGTACAGAAGTACCTCATTCATGTCTCAAATTTTTAAAACAAAATAATTTATTGTTTGCATCAAATCCCAATTACATAAGCTACACTCATTTATGAAGTCTAGAAAATAAGGCTAAAGCTTAAGTCCACTACAAATGCTTAGTCAAATATTAAGACCTAAATGTTGGGAATGCAGAACTATTCAAAATGCAGTATTCTTTTCATAATAATATACTGTGAACATTTATAAATATTTTAAGCTAAATTCAATTATACATAGTAGTTCTTGAGCCTTTTTAAAACTTAATAATTACATCTCAATTACAAAGAAAATATTAAATACAATTTTAAAATAATTTGGCATTCTAATTTTACTAAAGTGAAATCCTAAAAATAAAAATATTAACATCTATTAAGTTAATTTTCTCATTATAAAACCTTAGAGATGAGTAGCTTGTCTTGATATTTTTTCCTTAGTTAACACTTTAGATGTTCAAACTAACAGTGAATTCAGATAAAGCATTGTATTTGAATCTATTTTTTTCTAAGATTTTTTTCATCTAGGAATAAGGTTCTATTCCTTTTAGATAATTTTAGATAATATCACAAGAATAATATACCTCAAAGATAAAAATTATTACTTTGGTGTATTTTAAAATTAAACTCCTAAGGCTGAATCAGAATAGTAATGTAATAAACTAGTTTGAATATTGATTTTTTTTAGAAGGAGTGAAGAAAGTAAAATTAATCTATTGAAAGTCTCAAATTATGAGACTGCTTAATTAAATCTAAACTAGATATTCTTATATTTGCTTTCATATCGATGACATATAGTTGCTGTTCTCATGGAGTTTACAGTTTAGTTAATGGTATATTAAATAGATAAATGTAAATTATTCTGATAATCATAATTTTACCCTAACTTAATAATTATAAATTGAAATTTATGCTAAGCAGAAATGAAAAATTATATTGATAGAAATTAATAGGAGGGAAACCTTACTTAGGTAGGATTATCAGAGAAAACATCTCTAAGAACATTTCACCAGGGACCAAAAGGATATATAAAACCAAAACAAAATTCAGCAATAATGACCACTTTAAAGGCAGCTGTCATCAACCAATTATCACCAATCAGGAACTCTGAGACTAAAACATCATTACTACATGAAAGTCTTAATTCAGTGACTTCAGCTACCAGTTCTTTTTTATTTTAAATAATGACTTGTCTTTGCCTACTCAGTCAAATTACAAGGCCATAGGTTTTAGCACATAAATCTGTTCTAGGTGAATTGTTTATTCTGGCATAAAATATTTAGGGCAGAAAAGTCAGAAAACCAGGCTTCTAATTTGAGATATGGGTAAATGATGTTATTAACTATATTAAGGTATAATAAGAGAAGAAATGCATTTTGAAGGTAAAATGAATTAATACATTTTCATTTTGAATGTCTTCAATCTGAGATATATATGAGACATCCCAGGAATGATATGCAGCATAAGATTAGAACACTAGTGAGTTTGACATTGTTACTGTTACTATATCTTGGTGCTGATATTTATAATTTAGTACCCAATAGTGTTCATCAAACCCCATAGAAATCCCTGTTCTACATTTCAAATTAGACATGTAGTCTGTCATGTACAGAAATATACGTGCAAATATATTTTCTTTACATGAGAAATACAATACAATCTTGAATGATCAGCAGTAGAAAGAACACTTGACTTGATAATAAAAGATATAGATTGAAATGCCGGCTTCTCTGCTTAATAACCACACTACCTTAAGAATGTTGCTCGACTTTTCTGAGTTTTGGATCTGTGACAAAATGTAATCATTGCCTCCCTGACAGGGTTTATTAATTTATTAAATGAGCCTTTTCCTGGTTCTGGGAAAGAAGTGGTGAGCAAGTAGACATTGTTCTTACCATTACAAACAGACAAAATAGGCAATTACAAATTATAATAAAGTACTAGTGGTATGATTTATCGCCAGGAGTACAGAATACTTTGGTAATAACCATCAGAAGCACTTAACCTAGTCTTTGTGAAATATAATACAGTTAAATTAAAAAACTATGATTAAAAACTCGTAGCTCCAACCTTTCTGTCTGTAGCTTTTTATCAGCTAGTCATTATTTAAGCTAAAGAACTTAGGTGTGCATTTTTTTTTAGATCAACAACTATAATATTAAACATTATTTTAGATTCATATTTATATTTTTACTACAATATACTACAATATAATATCCTAGATTGTCCTTTTATATTTTTTAATTATCAGCTATGGTGAGGACAAGATCTATAAAATATACCATTTGGATTTCCTTCTTAGTACACTACCTAGTGAAGATAACCATGTATTATTTTTCTAAACATTTATTAAATGGCATTATCTCCAACAAACACGTATTTGCCAAAATGATGTTTTATTGTATGTGGAGAAAAAAGTCATTTCTCTTTTATATCAGTCATTTTCTTTTAATTAAATCTGTCTGAAATGACAAATGATTTTCACTCCACTTACTTTATGACCCTGTGAAATTTCTTTTAAGAACAAATGAGATTTTAATCTTTCATAGCCCTAAGTAAAACAGTGGCTTAGCCAAAGAAGTCAAATATAATGTAGATTCTATCTCAATAATAGTGGACAATATTTAGAAGACTTAAATTGTAACACGGTGGTAGTCTACCAAAAATGGTTTGCTAAAAGTGAACATAACTCACAGCCTATATGAATGCTGATATTCCCATTATAAAAGGTAACAGCATCTCTATTTGAAATCAAGAAGAGTAAGGTAAAGAATAATTACCAGAGCAAAAAGGGGGAAAAATTCCAAACTTTCAATCAGTTCACCATTCCCAGTAGATGTTGTGAAAATAGGGAATAATTTTTAAGGACGAATTTAATTATCTTTTTGTTCCCTAAGCATCTGAGGTTTGACTTTAAAAAATAAATATAGTCTATTGTTACATATTCCCTGTCCTTTAGAGATTAGAGTAAGATTTTATGCTCAGACTAAGCAACAAGATTTTTTCCCTCTCAGGAAGAAAACACAAATACTATCTATCTAAAACTAAAGTTTATGAAATAACTAAAAAGTATATGTATTGAAATAACCGTAATATGAAGGATGTGTTCATTTAATGCACTAATGTCTAATCTTATATTCAAACAAAATGCAGAATTATGATTTCACTGTAGGTTTCTATTATTTTCCTTTGAGCAAATGAATTTAGATTTTTCTGGATAAAGAATAAACGATTTTCTTCATTCACAGTTTTAATGTGTATATCTGAAAGGCAGTGTGGTTTCCTTTACATATAAAAATGACATTATTGATCTAGTATCAGGTCAAGTATCTATATTCCCTCTGAGATTTTTTTCTTCTCATATTAGTTTGTACAAATGATTCCACATTGTCACTGTTTTCCTTTTTGAACACCAGGGTGACTGTGTGATAGGGTTAGTTCATTTATTTGAAGCCTGAGGGTCCCACGTCTCTGGAGAATCTTGTGAAGTTGCTAAAATTCTACCCTAGATAAAAACATTAAGTGGAACCCACAAATTATTTTCTACTGTTTTGAAGAGCTAAACAAAACCAGTAAGACTACTTTGAATACTAAATTTCTTTGCTTTTGTCTGAAATCATACCTATATTGGTATATCAACATCTGTTCAATTGTTAATGACAAATAGAAATTTATGGGTTCTATATATACAAGGCCAAAATGCTTGGAAAGCACAGAATTAGTAACATCAAAAGTTTTGG